AGGCAGGAGCTAACTCAAGCTAATTAAAGGCAGGAGCTAACTTAAGCTAGCCTGTTTTAGGCAAGCCTGTGGACCTAAACGCAAAAAACATAAAGCCATGCGTTTGCCTTCACACTTAAATTGTGGAATCATATTTAGTAAAGTGGTTTTGTGTGTAGAGAAGGGTAGGGTGTCAGCGGTTCTCCTCTATGCCAGGTTCTTGACTTCCAGCTGCTGTGTTTTCCAGATGTATTCAGGTAAGATGAACCATGAGAACATTTTGGCTCAACTGAAGAAGGACGTTCGCTCCTTGCTCATTTCATCCAAGAATGGTTTAGCTCCGGAAGAGCTCCTGCGAGACTACGCCACCATGTTGGGCCATCCGATGCCCCTGAAAGTCCTGGGCTTCAGGAACATTTTGGATATGAGTCAGGAGATGCCTGATGTGGTGTCCATTAACTTCAGGCCAGATGGGAGCATATTCTTAAAAGGTAGCGTCTCGTTAAGGCATCAGCGCTCATGTCTTTGAACTCTTGAACAGGTTTAAGTATTTGACACTCTTGCTCTCTCCCGTGCAGCTGTTGGTCACGAGACCACTCGCAGCATGGAGGAGCTGGTGACCAAGCAGCGCTCTAAGCCAAACAAAAAGGGCAGCAGGGGAGGTGCCCGCTACTTACCAACTCATTCTCTGTCCCACTATGTGGTCCTCCCAAGAAGAGGTCCCGCTCCTCCAGCCATCCCTGCACAGCTGAGGACGGAGCTTCGAATACTGCTCTCACAAGTATGAATGAAATGTGTTTAATGTTTTGTGTCCATTATAACCTGGGCTTTTAAAGCCTGCTGTAGATTTTGCAGCTGGTTTATTTGCTTGGTATAAGTGCAGCATCATTCAAATGAAGCATGAGCAAAATGAGGGCACAGATTATTGATTATTGGCTTTTTTTGCACTTTATAAGGTCTAGCCTGTTAACGTGAACTTTGAAGAGAAGATACCTGACAGGCTTTTCTTTCTTCTCAGTGGAGTAATAATGCGGCCGCTCTCTCAGGGTCCCATTAGGTTATCCGACTTGGAGGCTTGTTTCTGGCGCTGCTTTGGACGACCGCTTTGCATTCACAGCTATGGCTTCTACTCCACTGGAGAGATGTTGGGGGCAGCGGCAGATCTGGTTGTCATTAGCCAGAGCAGGTTTGGCTCACTTGTGTTCCTGAGGGAGCATATGATCCCTAGGCCACTGCTCAAATTACCCGCCTCAACAAAGAGGGCTGGACCGATAAAACCAGCATTGCCGAGGACATGCAGGCCAGATTCTGAAAGGCCAGATGTCAAACTTCAGACGCCAAAAACACCTCCAGGTTCGTCCTTTGGACTTTTTCTTGTAGTTTTGTTTCGCTCCGTTTGTTCTTTGCACTTCTAACTGTTAGATTTGAAATGAAACTGAGAAACTTGGCTTTGTATTATTGCACTAGTCTGCATTTTGAAACACCTTTGTGTCCTCTTCAGCTGAAGCTCCAGAGAAACCAACATCTCTGAACCAGACATCTACCCAGAATTCCTTGGATTCTGCCCGTAGTGAGCCGGGAACCGTCGATAGCAAGCCGGGGGCGGACGAGAAGAACCAGGAAACCAAAGCTCAGCTTTCCCCAGAGATTCAGCTCTTTGATAACCATGTCCTCCAGGTTGGGTTTCATTTGCAGCTGAAATCCATCTCAGATATGAAATGTCTAATGTTCCGTTGCTTCTCACTGGAGAAACTGTGGCGCCTAAAAGACTCTGGTTTTGGTCAAACATTTGTGATGTAATTGTTCAGGCACACTACAGCAGAAAAATCAGAAATAGTGCTGTTACTAAATCCTGTCAAGTAATGGTGAGATGGTGAGAAATCCTATTTGGTATACCTCGTATCTGTTAAGTGCAGTTTCTTTCTTCTTCTTAAATGTGATGTTAGCTGGAGGAGGGGCTTCGTCAGCAGATCCTGGAGAACGGAGTTGCTGGCACCATCAATCAGGAGCTGAAGGACAAACTACGAGCGGTGAGGCCTCGCACCGCTTTATCAGCATATGTCTTTGAGCCCAGTTTTAATCACGCAAGCGTAACAAGTGTAAAGTCTGCAAGTGCTGTTATACTTCATGTATGTGGGGGGGGGGGAAGGACGCGTGAGTATATGCCTCGCTCTCAGCCCGTCGTCGCTCTGAAACCGCCGTATTAATCACAGATGACCGTAAGAGGTCAACAGACGTTAAAGAAAGTATGTCGTGAAAATGATTAACGTGTCGACAACTCTGCAGGTCATAGGTCAGACGGACGGCGGATTATCAGTGCACAAACTGCCAGCTGAGTACAAGGTAAAAACTAGTTTGCATGTTTGTGTTGTTAACAGAGACTTTTCTAAACATCAAACTGATCCAGGATTTTAGAAGCAGAGCGGTCCTAATCACTAATAGAAACAACCCGTCACACACACACACGGTTAGCTCCCCCCACCCTGGAGGTCGCCTACGATCACAGCAGACATTAATAAAAGATGCACACTCTTAAATATCCTCCTTTCTTTCCTCCCAGAGGTGTTTTGGCGAGGACTTGCCTCTGCAGCAGAGCGGCTTTGTTAGCGTCACTGAACTCGTCGGTGCCATGAGTGACACTTTCCACCTGAGACCAGCAGAGGGAGCCAGTGGACAAGACTGGATAATCAGGACCATACATGATACTGAGGATACGCGTCCAGGTGTGTATTTATCATTGCATCGTTTGCTTCGCTTACATGAGTAATGACTATTTAGTGTTACTGTAAATAAAAATGAGTGTTTAACCCACATCTGTCTTCCTTATGTTTGTTCACAGTAAAGTCACTAATTACAGTCACATGTGGATTTCAGGTGTTGGAGCATCTTTGTGCAGTTATGACTTTCAACCAAGCAGGAAATGTATTTGTGTCTGTTTCTAGACTCAAAAGAGAGCGAGAGTTTTAATGATGATCAGACGTTTCCAATTGTCCCACCATCAGATGATGAGAACAACGAGCTGGTTACCAGTAACACACCCATGGAAATGGTTTGAAAGCATATTTTTTTGTGTTTTGATCATAGCAAGTAATCAGTGATGCTTGATGCATGCACATTAAAAGTGATGACTCTGAACTTTACAGCCTGTAAGTCTGTAAATGATAAAGAGGAGCTAAATATTATCGAGTGCCTTTTCTGTGTTTGTCTGTAGATTTCTGCGATTCCGGTGCATCTCAGCCCTGCTGTGCCCCTCGACGCCCTGCAAAGTAAGCCTCTCAAACCACCGACGCGCCACTGTGCTCGAGAGCTGGTGGAAGTCTTGGTGGAGCGGGTGGAGTCACCCGGATATTTCTACATTCGCTTCAGCGAGAGTGAGGAGGCCCGAGCTATGGAGAACATGATCTTTGAGATGAGGTGGTGCATGTGTTAGCAGCAGCTACTGTACGGACTCTTTAACCGCGCCTACTCTGATCAGTACCATCTTTTCCCTCCTCTCGTCTCCTAGACGATGCTACACCTGCCCTCAGATGTCGGAGTGCTATCGCCTTCCCCAGAGATTTGTTCGACGGGGTCAGGTCTGCTGCGTGTCACCTGACGGAGTGTGGTTCTACCGGGTGGTGATCCATAAGGTCATCTCCCCCACTCAAGTGGAGGTGTACTATGTGGACTTTGGTGATGTGACAATGGTACCAACCGCCAACCTCAAGTTCCTCAAGTAGGGGCCTCTGCAAGCTCTCGTTAAAAGGATGATTTAAAAAAGATGTGTGCATATTTTATAAACGTATCTGGCTGTTTCCCAGGTCGACTTATTCGGTTCTTCCAGCACAAGCTGTCCCATCTTCACTCGCTGGAATTAAACCCACCTCTGTGAGTCTGTGCCTTAGTTTAATTTTCAGTTTCCTTACAAAGACAAACCTTTCTATAGACTCCAGCACCAGTCCTTGGTAATGCCAGCGTCTCAGCAATCTCGTGATGGTTTAATTGAATGTTTTGGCTGTCAGAGCTCTTATGGTTTGGATTCATAAATGAGTGTTGCGGTCGGTCTCCTGCAGGGCAGCTGGACTCCTGAGGCAACAGCCGACTTCCAGAAACTGTGCAGTGATCGCACCCTGGTGGGCGCTCTGGATTGTTACAGTGGAGACGTGCTGCAGCTCTACCTGTGTGACACACATACTGATGATGACATCTACATCCACACTGTCCTGCTGAGCCAAGGCCATGGGACGCCCTGCAGCCCTGCAGCCTCTGCAGCAGTGAGCGGCACCCACAAAAACACTGGTTTGGTACCATAATCATGATCAGCAGCAGCAGTTTATCGTTCTTTTAACAGGATAGCTGTCAGGTCACACCAGTGAGTCTCTACCTGGGAGAGGGGGTGGCTGACCTGCCAGAGGTGAGGGAGGAAATGATTTCATCCCCAGAGCCAGGAGACACTTCTGAAGAGTCCATAATGGACAAGCTGAAGGTAGCACACTGGTCTCATAGAAACACAGTGCAGGGCTATAGTGCTCTTGCCCTGTGGGACGTTGTTAGATTTGGCAAAAGATCATTTTATGTTTGTGGGTAATATTATTGGGTTTTTAAAAAATGTTTTTATTAGTTTAAAACTGTTAGAAAGATTATGGTTGTATATCCGCATGTATACAGCTGCATTTAGCTGACGTTGGGCCTCAGCTGGGATAGCCTCCAACACCACCTCATCTGCATACGTGGTTAATGCCTTCATGTAGTGTGTTTTCTCTTTTCATAAATACAGACCTTCATTGTAAACTGATAAAGAGAACGCACAGCGGTGCATTAGAAGGCCACGGCTATGCAGAGAATAACGTTTCAGACTGTTGGATAAGGTTGAGTTTTGCACCCACGTCTAACATTTGTGTTATTTATAGGTGTTCAATTTTAATCA